AAAAGCATCCGATTCTAATAAAAAACTTAATTTTTCGTTATTCTCTGAATCAACTTTAGTTACTTTGAAAATAATATTTTTTATTGAGTTTAAAGTACATATTTAAATTTTATATACTCTTATAAAGTAGATTCTCTACAAAATATATTTTTTAGTGATTACAAAAAACTAAAATATTCAATACATTTTTAATTTTATCACGCTTATACGTTTTCAGAAAATTATTTTACATAACTATATACTAATATTTTTTTAAGAAAGAAATATATTAAGCCATTATTAAAGTATACCAGTAAAATGCACTATAGCTATAGTAAAAAATAATATTTTAATGTGACAAAGTTAAAAATCACAAAAAATAAAATCAGCGACATGTACCTACCATAAATGCGCATTCAATTATATTAAACTATAATCCTAAGCGACAAATGTTCAAATAAAAAATACCAAATTAACACTATAAATACCTATAAGAAATAAACTAATTGGAATTTATAATAAAACAATTGATCTGTTTAAAAATAATTATTGTAAGTTACGACATATTATATTAAATTTACTCTGTCTATAGACTATCTACACCTACATAAAATATATTATAATAATATGCTGACACCACGACGTACAAGATACAACCTACAAACAAAATGGAATAATAATCATTTGAATAGTATTGATATTTTAATTTCATGTGAAAAAATGAGGTTCAATCAATAACTACATGTATATTATATAATATTTCAAAGTTGGAATAAATTATTCTAATACCTAGTAATATCATTCTCTTTGATCACCATTAAATATTAATGTACAACTTTCAATTATATAAGTATCTATCTACAAACGTCTATTTTACAGAACACTACATAATATACAATATTTTATACATATTATTAGATAAGGAACATAATAATATACACATTTAAGCAACTTCAATTACGTATGTATCACTTAAAAATTAAAATAATTTAAAAAAATATATTTTCAATAGTTTTATTAATTTGTAGCTTTTTTTATTATTAAAAACTTGTTTACTATCATGAACATAATTGATAAAAAAAACCACAACAATTAATGAATTATTATAAAACGGAAAATTATTATTTTTAAAAGATTGAAAAGGGGGTGATGATGGGTTATCACATTTTTTATCGTAAACATAATTGAATAAATATTTTGCTATTTCTATAGATTGATCAATTTATAAACTTTTATATAATTATTTGTATTTTATTTTTCAATATTTTATATAATTCAAAAATGTCTGTGAATAAATTACAAACACGATTGTTAATATATATAGTAATACGTTATTTATAATCATGTTTGTAGTTAATACTTTTATAGTTTATAAGAACGATTTTTTGCTCATGGAAATTTTGAAGATTCCTATCTTACCACAAAGTTCACGAGCCACCACAGCATAAATTAGAATTATAAGGCGAGTTCCCATGAAGCGGCTTTAGACGAGCGGAATGAGTTCGTAACAAATATGTTTCTACGGCGTTTTTTTTTTTTTTTGGATTCTATAAGACAAATATTTTCAATCAGCCTAATAAATGGTCTAAATTTAAAAAAAACCCAGCTGGTTGAGTATACTTACTTTTCTAGGGTTCAAACTCATTTCTACGACGTCTCAATTGTAAGATAAATATACCAATTTTATTAAATTTTAACAATACTCCTAATTTACTTACAGATGATAATAATATTAACAAAAAAATAATCTAACAATGGTGAGTCAAACTAAATTCCAATGTTTTAGATGTTTTTCCACGCATAAAAAATAAAAGTTAAAATAGAATCCCAACACTGGTGATGTTTGTTGATTCCTGCCATTTTAACTATGTAGTACGTAATTTAAAAATTATTAAAAAGTATTTATTATAATGTATTTGTTGAAATTCAAATCTAGAAAAATTTCATAAAATTGATAAAACAAATACGAAACATAACTGAATGATAAAAATGCATAGAAAATTATATTTTTTTTTTTTGTATAATAGGTAGTTATATAGTTTATTTAGGTAGTTAATACATAAAACTCTTTATTTTTTTCATTAAATTTGATGAATTTCTTAAATAATATAATATATTTAATTATACTTGTATTAATTTATACTTTATATAAATTAACCTTTATATCTACTGACTTATGTTTATTAATTTAATGGGTAGTATATTTGACAGCAAATAGGAAATATGTGAATTAATTATGGGTAGATTATTGAGAATCGTCCAAAAAAGCTTAAGCAACGTGGGAAGACACCCTCTCGCTCAATTATACTGCGATGTATAGGTAGACAAATTTTCATCAAAACCGTACGCTTAAAAATGCAATTTACTGCAATACAATTTTTAAATGTTCTGTGGATACGTATCTAAAGCCCAAAATGAAGACATTTCACATGTACCTGCATTTATATGTTTTACTGAATAATAACAAAATAATCTTCCAACCTTCAATGACAATTTTAAATTCATTATTAGTCTATCCGTTAAAGTCGTTTCAATAATAAAATCTTTAGTAAAGTCAAAGTAAAACTCATTGTTATTTGATTAGATACAATACTGACTATTTGTATGAATATATGTATGTATGTATGTATAAATAATATACTACACAAATTAAAAATAATATGATGATGATAAAATTATAAATTTATTATTATAACATTAATAGTTTGTTACATATTTTTAATAATAAAATCGGTCGTAGGTCTTACAATGATAGGTAATAATTATTCTCTGTAAATTGTAACGATGTTGTTATTATATTAATATTTCACTTTCGTAGTTTCTAGTAACTAACACTAAAAGTTGATTTTTAATAAATCATTTTAGTTAAAAAATAATTAGCTAATGGTTTAAAATAAAATCGATAACAAAGAGGATCTACAAATATCTATTATTAAGACTATAATATAACGATAGATACACTAGAAAAAAATAACAAAATACAGTATAATTTGTCTTCGACACATCGAGCACAAAAGAAAAAAAACTATACACATGGCAATATAATATGGCAGTGCATAATGAGAACTAAGGAAAAAAACCTTGAGTAGCCAAGGTAAGCATGAATGCACTACTATAAACTTCCACGATATTATTTCTTATTATTATGTAATTAATTAAATCTAGTTAAACATATAACCATCTTCATATTTATTTTAATATACGGAAATAAAATGTATACTAATTTGTAAACAAAATAAATAATTTATAATTTATAAGTAGACTGCGCTGTACAGTATATAAAACAGTACCTAATTAAAAAAACTATTTTTTTTTTTACTATTAACTTTAAGATATTATTTAATAGTTTATAAAATAATTTAAATTTGTAAAGTAGAGGATAAAAACTTGACTGTCAACTACAAACTAGTCTCATCCTTGTACTAGGATTATTTAAATATTAACGAATAATTTTATAATCGAAAATTTAAAAATGATAAAACCTAACTGTTTATTTTGTTATGTATATATATATATATATATATATATATATAAATCTACTCATTCATTAATTTTTTTTAAAAAAATATGAAAAAAATAAGAATAATTAATTAAATATATATAAATATCGATGTATCATTGGATCAGTAACTACTAACTATAATACCTACTTATTTAAAATTTGTTTCGTAAGAAGTCGAGTACATTAAATATTACATTTCTTGAAAATATTACTAATATTACTAATTATTATCAGACTATAATTTATAAATACTCCATATATACCCATATAATGTTATTATCCATTGTTAAATATAACGATAACTATTATCCTATTCTTTTGTTCACTGTACAAATTATTCCTATTTGTTTTCATGAAAAACCACTAAAATAATATTTAGAAAAAATAGGTTCTAAAAATTAGTGAGTTCTTGCTCATATACAACTTATTTTTAAAACAATTTAATTTTAAACAATAAACATAATAAACACAACATTTAAATACCTAACAAAATAGGAAAAGTAATTTGATATCAATTCAAAACTAATTGTAAAACACTAATATACATTATGCAGTGTTGCATGTTGGTCGATGCACCTATACGTAACTTTGACGTCATAAATACTCAAAGATAATAATTGAATGAGGTATATTGTATACAATGTACACATATTATGATATATATACATATGTTTTGTACAAATGAATAATTGAATTTCTATAATAAGCATGACGTGGGCATTATGTTTATCAGTATGCTTCATATAATAGATAAGTTTATTGTGATAATAATAATACATTATACTCTAAATATTATATGTATTTAAGGCAGTATAAAATAAACTATGAAAACAGAGTATAACATAATATCATATACAGAACATTTATATAGCTGTAATAAAATAGGGATCTTACACAAAAAAACAGCACGTGCGTATTATAAACTATTCACGATAATACTTTTCAATAATAATCTAGACATCTAGTGGAAGCCTTAACGATTTACATATCTCGATGTTACCCGATTCTTGAATTCATATTATGGTATGAAGTATGAACTAAAAACACGAATATGTCTCGTTATTGTGCAAAACGTATATTTTTATTTTTTTTTAGAATTTTTATTTACACATGATTACTTAAACAACCATTTTAAACGTGCTTCCTTGCATGTATATTGTATATTGTAATAACAATAGACACTGGTGTAAAATCCGTTTTACCCGTTCCCAAATACACGCGCAACCTACGATCATTTGTTTAAGGTTGGTGACTCGTGAAGTTTACAAACACACAATGACTACAGCATAAAATATAAATGTTAACACATGCATACAGGTACAACGCAAGCCATCAACACATGCACAATAACGTATAACATGATGTATCGATCATGGTTATTATATTATTAACGTATTATTATACAGAGATATATTATATATAATTGTATTATTAGATTCTTCGGCGTTCCAACTACTATCGGATTTTCGTGTTATAGGCGTACTATTATATTATTGTAATATTTTCAAATTTCGCGTACCTCTCGTGCAGTTTATGGAATCGACACTACGTACGACGCCGGTTCGAATAAAAAAAATAATATGATATATTTCCGTTGACAGTCTCGCTCGTTTTGTACGCGCGGTTTATTACGGTAGAGTCTTAAACGGCACCAGAAACAACGACAATGACAACGGTGGCGCACTGAAATGACGGGGGAATGACCGAACGACAAAAAAAAAAAAAAGAAGTTTAACTCTTCTTACTGTTTATAATATAATTATTAGAGTAAAAAAATACTATTATTATAGACATTAACGAAGACGAAATACAACGGCGATGGCGACTACGATATCGGTGGTAAAATAATGACGACAGCGGGACCAGTAAATCACACGTTCGAAAAACGCGCGCACGCAAACAGTAATTTCGTACACCACACGGACGGGCGTCGGACCACGTATCAACCGGCTGTCGGCATTACTCTGCGGCTCGACGAATCTGCGCGACCGCCGTTCCTTCCTCGGGCACGCTTTTGCTCGTGTGCCGTGTGCGCGCACAGGTGGTGGTATAGGTACACATCGACACCAGGACGTGTGTGGTTGTGGTGGTGGCGGCGGCGGCGGCGGCGGCAGTGCCATAGGCACGTTAATAATAATAATATGGGCATGATAAGGTCTCCCTTCCTGGCGAAGAACAAAAAAATAATAAAAAAAATACCGAGCACCACCGCGCGCAGGTGAACCATATCGGTCGGCGCTCTGGCAACACCCCGCGACTGCCCGGTATTACCGGTTTCTACGGGCTTAAGACGTGAAGCTTATAATCACAATAATATGTATACACGTTACAATAAATAATGCGATAAAAATCTTTAATAATTCGACAACGATATTTTTTTGTTGTTTTGTTTTTACAAATCGATTACCTCCGGAAATCTACTCTTCGGCTCTCCACTCGTTTCTCGCAACCCCGTCACAATGCAAACACACACAACGGATATTACTATATATTACTATTATTCATCTGTTTATTGATTCAAATTAGTCGTGTACGTCGACTTTACATGGGGTATTGTTGTATTGTCAACCAATTCGAGATCGATCGCAAACCGACAAGTTTATTTTTGATGGTCCTAATGATTATGATGGTTCATAATGTCAAATATTTATATTACAATATTAAAAAATACGGAAAACGGCTAAAATGTACACGTTATTAGACCAATATTTTATTACATGGTCGAAATATTCTACTAAAATCAATATTCTATCGTTTGTAGATACTAATATACGTATAAATTAAAATTTTATATTATTTTCAAAAACGAAGATACTTTTAATAAACTATAAAGAGTAATGGATATTTGCTATTGGTTATATGCATTTGTAGTCTCTATCCCTCATAAGTGTGACTAAGTAAAAGATTCCCATTTTTCTTTACAATCATAATATAGTCGATGTAGTGAACAATGATAAATTGATAAATACTATAACATAGGTGGCCAACTTGCGGTTTGCGAGCCACATGTGGCTCTCGTCATTGTCAGATGCGACTCGCGTCTTATTTAAAAAATCAAAATTTAATTAATATTATAATGAATTTTAATTTTTAGGTATTAGCTTATAAAAATTATCAAATTATATAAACATTTTGGCTCTTGATATCATTGTATTTATCTATGTGGCCCGCAAACCTATTCATGTTGGCCACCTCTATACTATAAAAATTGAATAAAACTTAAAATAAACCTACACAAAATAGATCCAATGACATTTTTTAAATGTCACTCCCTAATTTCCAGGAATTTATTTTCAGTTACATTTTTAAAAATACATTTTGTTTTTTAAAAATAATCAAAATTAAATTTCAAAGTGACCTAATCGATCTTATTGTTCCAACCTCACGTAATACTAATAATTTTGGTATAAAAATTTAAACATATGTATTAATGTTAAATATAATTCTGTAACTTTACTTTGTACGTTAAAGACCAATGTCACATTTAGATGAATTTTAAATTATTGTACCAATATTATTAATTTTTGACAATGTTAATAGTATAAAAACGATTTTTCTGATTCAATAGAACTAACTTGATATTATATAAATTGGCTATATTGATATCAATCGATATAGAGTATTTAATATAGGTTTATCTTGACATTAACTATGCATTACATCCATATAATATTCATATAATACAACATTGGCTAATTTGAATTGAATCAATAAAGTTTACAATAAATATATTAACTTAAGTTAATTAATTATTAAAAAAGTGTTTCTTTTAAGGCCAATATAAAAATATGTTTCATTAAATTAGGAATAGAAAACAAATTTAGTCACCTAAATTTTAAAAATCTAACGTAAAATCTATCATTTTTATATTTTTACAAAAAATTTGGTTTATTTTAAAATTAACATTTCCGGAAATATTCATTCTTGACACTGACTTTTGCACTAAATTATTGAGGTATATTAATTCCATAATATTGTTCAATGACATCGTTATAAGTAACGATGTAGAAAAATATAAAATTTGGTTGATCATATTCTAATTATATGTACATAAATATTTGTAATTCTTTAAAAATCGCATACTGCTTTATTAAAAAAAAACTGGTTATTTACAAGATATAAACGAAGTAATTTTAGACAAAAAATGTAATAAATATGTATGTGTATCTACATATTCTGCTTTTAATAATGACATGGAATGTTTTTCTAAAATATTAAATCTACAATATCTGCTAATTTAATAAATTGTAGACAATAGACTAAGTCATAGAATATTTTATAAAAAACAATCACCTATATTTTTTTATTACTAATTTTCAGAAATTAACTCCAATTAATTTCAAAAACTTTTTCAAACATATACCATAACGTAACTTTTGTAATCAAAAATTATGATTATTAATTATTATCATTGTACTCACACAGTCACACATACACACCTTCCCTAAACACACAAAATACGTATATTTAAATTAAAATGACGATTAACGAATTATTATTAAAACAAATTACACTGTAAGCGAATAGTGTGGAATATCAGTATTTTCCTTTAAAAACATGACAAGACTGTAGTTAAGGAAATAATAATATGGCCAATGAGTTTCTAATAGTCAAATAAAAATTGAATATCTGAATACAACGACCTCTAGAAATTTAACTGCGGCCTGCCGTGCTCAACAATATTATTAGCATATAATTGAGCAATTAATGGAAACAGTTATTTAACAATAAAGCTATTATAGTAAATTTAGGCAATTAAACTTATTAATACGTGCAAACTATATTAATTAAAATTTTTGTAATGCAATATACATTAAAATTTCTGAATAAACAGTTCTATATCTGTTCGAATTGTTTCTTAACATTAAATACACCTAAACGCACGTATTAAAAAGAAACATCTTTGAATCAAATCCACAGAAGAGGGAAGGGGCAAAATAAAATACAGATTTATTTTTTAGTATAATTATTAATTTAGCAATCTTTTACAATTTGAACGATAAGCTTAATTGATAAAATAATAATTAATAAACAACACAGGAATAATGGATAGAAGAAACCTTCATTAGAAATACCTTTGTCATGAAATAATGTTTAAAATTTATTTATTTTATATACTACACAAAACAATATGTAAATAAACAAGAGTAAAATATAACTAAATAACAAAATCCATAATTTTTCTATCTAATTTGTAATAGCAAAACCACAGATAATTCACTGTGATGTGTTTTTTAGTGTCAATCCAGAAAGTATATATGCTTGGCCGTTCAGTATACTACTTCTTAGCTAAGTTTCTTAGTCAAATAAACAATAACCAAAGCAACAGAAGAAATAAGAAAAAGCTAGATGTTAAGTTTGATTTATTTTAACATGGTTTTATAAACAGTTTAGATAAAAGTATTTTTATTCACACATATTGCGATATTGCGTGAATAAAAGTATCTGCGAAAAGATGTAAACAAAACAATTAAAATAAAAATTTGAGGTAAAATATTTTAATAGATAATTTGAAAACAAAAACATAAAATTTTTAAATGTTTTGTTACTTAAGTACAAAACATTACACATTGCATAGAGTGAGAAGGTCGATCGCGTAATCGAAAAGTCACACTGACAATTTCACAACAAAGATCTATATTATAATATAAAAATTAATTGATTCTTATCAAATATTATAAATACCATAAAATTAAATGAAAATTAGGATTTTAAATAAGACGAATAATAATACAGCAGTAATCTATAATCATCGACAACAAACACATATAACGCTACCTACTACGAAATATAAATGCGTAGTAGGTACCTATTATAATATATAATGATGTTCATTAAATTATTTTAAGTAAAATAAATATTTTACATTTAAGATTAATTATAAACGAACTAATAAAGAAATAATTTACACATAAAATAAACATTTAAATTAAATTAGCTATGTATATAATAAGCGTGATTGTACATGTCACATGAAATCTTGGTAAATCAGTTATCGTCAATAATTTTTAGTTAATTTTTGAAACTACTCAGATGATATTCAAACTTTATCAATGAAGCAATAATTATTATTAGTAACCAAGATCGTGTGAATATACGACATTATTTATATAGTATTGTTACAAGTGTTACAACTATTACTAACAATGTGTTGAATACATATTTCATAAGTGTTAATTTTATTTGTCTATTGTTACACGAGAATATATTTGTCTATATAGTTGCATTCAGAGGTCATCTAGGTTAAGTCAACAGAAGAGTAAATATAGGACAGATAATTGTTAAGATACATTCAAATTTAAGCATTGTGTCAAACTGATTTATAAATAATTTTTTCCTCATAAACTGCAGCAACAATTTAAAATTTTATATTTGATATCAATATTCATTTTAACAAATAACATACAACCGTTAATTTTTGTCTGTAAAATCTCACATGTATCATATCAAAAACTATTTCTATAAATCGTAAAAAATTCTATGATAGCATAAGCATGTAAACAGAATTAAAAAAGAAAAATATTTTAGTATAAATCGAAAATGCTAATATAAATAATTTGGAGAAAAAATTAAGTCTCTAGAGTTATTTATTTTTAAATGACAACAAAAACAAAATTAATTTTGTCAAAAATTTAAAATATTTGCATAATTTAAAACACATCTATTCACGTTCCTTCCAGAATTCAAAGTTTGTGTAGCATATTTAGTCAATTAAATTTTGGAGTTTTTTAAGTAAAGTAACTGATAATTTTAGCGAATTTCAAAATATTTTTACTGTATACATAATTAATGTCTATCTTATAATATTATATACCTTTTTAAAAATAAATAAAATTTGTAAAAGCAAGCAATTAAAACTTTGGCAGATTCTTATTATTTAGTATAATATTTTCTTGCAGTTTGTTTCAATGACCCATGTGTGTACGTATAAATTGTGAATATTAGTAAAAGACAGGAATAAATAAAAATAAAGTACCAGTTTCAAGGTGAACTCGAC